GCACATGGGTACTCCCATCGACTGGGGACGCTGCTGTCCCCACGGGCCATGCTGTCTGTGATGGTCTTCGCCATGAAGAGGTGTGGCCTCACTTGGGGAGACCTCGGGCCTGGAAGAGGCCCCAGCCCTGCACCCCGAACTGAACAGCCCCAGCCAGCCTGCCGCACGAGGGGGCTGCACGGATCTGCTAGTCAATGATGTTCAGGCCTCAGGCATCCAAGCAGGCGTTTGCCAATCTCAGGCTGGACCCTGAAAAGCCCCTGCCAGCACCAAGACCACCATCCTACTCAGGGACCCACCAGGAAAACAGCTTTTTACTGAGAGGGACTTTTTTTTTTCTTTTTTTGCAGAGGGGAGAATAATGTTCAGCAAAATTCATTCCCAAAACCCATGACTCCGATGACAAGAGTCATCCTCCCCTCCCTCCTCACCCCTGCTGGGAAAGGGCAAATCACCCCAAGCCTCCCCCCAGAGAGACAGCCCTGTCACTCTCCCTAGAACCATGTGTCCCGGATTGCCCAAAAGCCTGAAATGGTACCAATGCCCACTGCCTGCCGGGCACTGCCCTTGGCACTAAGTATCCTACTTCCCATTTAACCAGCTCCGCAGCCCGCGGCCACCCCCATTCCCAGAGGAGGAAGCCAAGATGCCAGAGGTAAAGCGGCTTGCCAAGCGGCGGCGGCGCAGGACGCGGCCAGGCGCATATGCTGTCCCCAGCACCGGGCGACCAGCTGCGTGTGACAGGGGTCACAGAGGCCCCACTGCTCCTGACACAAAAATGACTCAGGGTCCCTGAGGGGGCCTCTCGTCACTGCTAAGGCCAGTCTCCCCTACGCCACCAGCTCCATCAACAAGCTGACGCCAGCTCTTGGAAACAAGACTGGAGCCCTGAAGACAGCGGGCCCCACTGAAGACCGCCCAAGTGCGCCATGACCTAAAACTTGGAAGTCCCCTGGGCCGCTGTCAATCATGCCCTGCCCCGTAGGCAGATAAAAGGGGAAAAAAACGGATATTGCACAAACACTCCCCTGGAGGGTCCTGAGCAGGCACATTTTGAAATAGCCGGCAGGGTTCTGTTGGGGGCACACCCAGTTTCAATTCTGCTTTTCCCTGGGTGACAGACGGCAAGAGGAAAATCACCGGACTGGTCTCAGAACTGGCCGAGATTGCCCAAGGGGGGCCCTGGCCAGCGGTAGGCACAGTGTGCTGCCATGTCGCTGCCACAACCACGTCCCACACGTCTCACAAACGCCCCCCACCTGACAGGGGGAGAAACTGAGGCTCGGAGCTTTCGGTTCCTTGCCCAACACCAAACAGGTCTTCCTGGCCTCCAGCCAGTGACCACGGCTCCTTACTGCCCGGGTCCCTGTGGGGGACGGCGCAGAAGAGAACAGTGGGTCTGCCCAGAGCAGGTGCTACGGAGGACTCCCTCCTGCCCAGCCAGCTCTTCCACCGGCATTGGCTGCGACACAGGTGTGCGGGCTGAAGCCAGAGAGACCCTGCTGGTTACAGAGAAGGGGCCAAGGGAGGGGACCGAAAAAGACACTTCCCAAGTGCACAGACCATCAGACACCAGCGCAGGTGCCAGGCTGGCCTGAAGTCTGTCTTTCTAGAGACACTCCGAAATAGAGGGCCGGCCTGGGGCTGGTTAGGGAGTCCTGCCTGGAGACAGGGAGGGACCGGGGACTGAGGGGGCATGGGCAGCTACTCCTCAGGTGGCCGGTGGCCTGCAGGGAGGCAGGCCAGTGTGCCAGTTCTTCCAGCCCTTTGAGAAGACCTACCAGTCTGGACTCTGTGGGCAGCTTTCCATTTTTAACTGATGGCAACCGATTCCATCTTCTTAAAAATACTGTGTCCGGGGCACCTGGGTGGCTCAGCTGGTTGGGCGGCTGCTTTCAGCTCAGGCCATGATCCTGGAGTCCCCAGATGGAGCCCCGCGTCAGGCTCCCTGCTCGGCGGGGAGTCTGCTTCTCCCTCTGACCCTCCTCCCTCTCATGCTCTCTGTCTCTCATTCTCTCTCTCTCAAATAAATAAATAAAAATCTTTAAAAAATAAAAATAAAAATACCGTGTGGGCCTAAAAGCACGTGTACAGCCTGAATTTGACCTGAGGAGCGAGAGTCTTAAGATGTGGGACTCCTGGGGGCGCCTGGGTGGCTCAGTCAGTTGAGCGTCTGCCTTCGGCTCAGGTCATGACCCCGGGGGCCTGGGATTGAGTCCTGCATCTGGCTCCCTGCTCAGTGGGGAGCCTGCTTCTCCCTCTCCCTCTGCTGCTCCCTCTGCTTGTGCTCTCTCTTTCTCTCTGACAAATAAATAAATAAAATCTTTAAAAAAAAAAAAAAAAAAGGTGTAGGACCCCTGAAGCTTAGAACTGCACAGAACCCTGCAGGCCATCCTGTCCAGGCTTCGCAGGCCTGTGGCAAAGATCAAAGATGGTAGCGTAGATTAGTATTATATACTGTAAAGTGCAGGCCACCTGGAAAGGGCTGTTGTCCTCTGGGCAAAGCTTCCTGTACTATTAGAAAGTTCTACCCCATGTGGCTAAAATCTCACTGGCCTTACTTCTGCTTTTGAAACCCATAGAGCCAGGAGGCTCCCAGTTTTTCCCTGAAAGATTTGAACACCTCCCTGTGATGACCCTACACAATGTCTCTGCCCCAAAGAACAGCTAGTGTCCCTGCCTCTGTGCCCTAAGACACGGTTGCCTCACCTGAGCCATCCCCACCACCCTCCACCCTCCTGCGGGTGAAAGCAGGGAGCGCCCAGGGTGCAGGGAGCCCAGGGTGCAGGGCCCCCCGGGTCTGGGAGCGGCTTCCAGCACCTCATGTCATGTGCACCAACAGGTGACTCGAGGTGATGACGCTTTTGGGTACCAGCTTTGTATTTTGAAAACAAGGTTCTCTACGAACTCGTCTGAAAGTTTTCCAAGATTTTTTTTTTTACTAGAATGTTCCTGAGTTGCAACCCCAAAACATGGCATGAATTTTCTCTCTTTCTCCTTTACAAACAACACTAGTAATGATGACAACCACCTTATATTAAGGACTCCTCTGTTTGCCTAGCAGCAGCCTTGGGTTCAGGCACCGCTGAGTTCTCCGCATTTCAGAGGGAGTGAGTGAGGTTCAGAGAGGATGGGTGATTCCCCTGAGGCCACACAGTGAGCACCACTGGCAAAATCTGGATTCAAACTCAGATTCTGACCCCAGAGCTTCCTTGTATAAGCATGATGCTAGACTGTCATTTCTGGTGTCTTTCCTGGCAATGACACTGATGGACAAAATCAGCTTTTATCCTAAAATAACATGGATAGTAATGAATGCGGGGGTGCAGTGTAGACTCTAATCCTCAAGGTAAGGTCTGTGTGCTCAGAATCAAGGATTCCCCTCCCTCAGAGAACACTGCCACCTAGTGGGCGGCCGAGGGGAGGCGGCAAGGCGACAGGTGTTAAAGGCCGCAGGGCAGGTAAAGGCTCGCAGGTGGGGGGGACCTGGCACTCACCTTGTTGAGGCTGCTACGGTCGCTGACGCTCTTGGTCAGCTGCTGGATCTCGGCCACCTGGTCGGCCAGTCGCTTCTGCTCATTGAGCTTCTCGGCCAGTGTCTCGAGCTCCGTGAGGGCGAGCTGCAGGGACAGCCTATCCGGGTGGCCCCTGGGGGTGTTCTTCAGCATATCCTACCAGGACCCCGAGAGAGCCAGGGCTGAGAACCCCACCCCAGCAGACCCTCCCTCCCCTGGCCTGGGACCAAAGCCTCACCCTCCCACCTCCTGCAGAGACAGGGGCTGAAGGTACCCCACTTTTGGCCAAGACAGATGGTACCTGACATACAACAAGGCCTCAAGAAATAGCTAATGAATGAAAATATAAAATAAATATGTGGATCAATCACTAATTCACTGATCAGCAGTTTGCTGAGATAAAAGCCCCCTCCTGCAGCCGGCAGCTCTGAGGACAGAGAGGAAAGTGCCGCAGGGGTCCCTGGCCTAGCAGCCGCCCTGCCAAGCTCAATGGGGCGGGGGGGGGGGGGGGAGCCGCGGGGCGGGGGCTTACCCTGACTAAGGGCCCTTGGCAATCAGGGGAGGTGTCCCAAACTCTTGGGGGGAGCCCTGTGAGGGGACGAACACTCCCTCTAGAAGCCCGAAGTGGCCAAAGTCAGCTCATTTCATTTGCCCCGCTGCCAGGACCCCCGAGGGCCTGGGAGTCCACACACCCTCGTTCCCTTCCTACAACCTGGGCTCCTGCCACCACCAGGCACCCAGCCCTCCACGCCAGGGAGGTGCACAAGAAGCTGTCCGACACGATCAGGTCCACTCCAGGAGTAGAGAAAGAGGGCACTACGGGGTCAAGGTCCTGCTCATCGTCCAAAGCAGACGGATGGGTTGTGGATGACGGACAAGAAGCCCCCACCCCAGGGGGCTCGCCAGCCCGGGCCACACCCTGCAGGTCCGCAGCCGTCAGCACCCCACATGGTACCTGAAGCAGGAGGATGAACTGTGGGAACCTCTGGATGGGCTTCACCATCAGCCCGTAAAGCGTGACGCGGTCCGGGCTGCACACCTGCCGCCGCTGTTGGAGAGCAGGTGGAATCATTCACCAAGCCCCCACCCCTCCACCCCTGTCTGCAGGGGTGCCGAGTGCCCCAGAGGGCAGACGCCACCAGTCCTGGGCTCTCCTCCCCCCGCCCCCCGGCTGGGGCCCAGTACCCTGCTCAGCCTCAGGCCTGAGAGGAGAGCCCCAGATGTCCCTGGTTCCGCAGCCAGGACTCTGCTGCCACAGGGTCCCCCACAGAGCCCCCCAGCCTGGGCAGACTAGAGCAGTCGGGCTAAGGCCTCCAGACTAACAGCATAACTGGGCGACTGAGCAGTTTCCTCAGGAGACCAGAGGAGAAGCCTTGGCAACCACGCCCTCCACGTGAACTAAGGCAGCCAGGCCCGGGCCAGGCTGAGGGGCAGGCACGGGGGTCCTGCTGTCCTCTTTCATCTGTCTCCAGCACTCCATCCACATGCCTGTCACCTTGATTCCGGCCCTCACACCCTGCCCCCCAGCCTGCTGCCTCAGCTTCCTCCCTGGCCTCCACTTCCATCTGCCCAGGCCCAAAACTCCTCAGTGGCTCCCACTGCCTGAAATATGAGGGCCCAGCCACCTGGGCCTTGAGATCCAGGACCATCCAAACTGAACTTAGCCACCTCTGGGCCTTGTCCCCTAGAACTCCCAGATAGGCCCCCAGTGCTCCCAGGATCCAAGCAGACTTGCCCATCCCCACCCTCCTGCCTCTAACCTTTGCCCCACCACCCCTGTATCTGGAACACCCTGTCCTCTGTCTCCACCTGTTACAACAGATGACACTCCACTGACAAAGCCCCCTGACCTTCTTGGAGTGGGGCAGGGGCTTCCTTGGCTGGGGCTCCGGCTCCTCCCCCACCTAGCCCACCCACACCCTCCGCCAGGCAGCACATTTCCTGAGGGCAAGGTCTGTGTCTGACTCACCTGACTGCACAGCCCAGGAACTCAGGGGAAGCTGCCCATGGCTACCTGATACCTTGGTCCTTTTACCTCTATTCTCCCATGTGGTCCCCAAGATAGCCCTCTGAGGAACTTTCCTCACCCTTTCCCAAATGAGGAAAAGGGATCAACCCGGTGACAACCTGAGCCATACCTGAAGACCCACCCAAGCCCAGCCCGACAGAGGAACACAGTCACCCACCACAGACCCACCCATTGTCACCCCACCCGTCCAAGAGAGGTAGCCAGCCTCCCCTTCCACCTGGCCGAGCTCCAGCTTACAGACCCTCTAACTCATTATCACCCTCCTCCTGGGGGGCAAGAGGGGCCGATTTTCTTCCCATGGCACTGGCGATGTCCCAAAGGAAAGAGGGGAGGTATCCAGGCCACAGCGATGATGGGACCCCCAAAGCTGGGCCCCAGTGCCCTCTTCCTCCTGAGAAACCCACTGAGAGGGGCCCTGGACTCCTGCTGGCCCACCTTGAGGAACTCGAGGAAGGCGGGCTTGGTGAGACAGGCCTTCTTAATGATGGACATGGCATTGGTGAAGTTGTTCACATAGTCGCTGTACACGTCTAGCACCATGGACTTGGAGAACTGGAACGGACATGGGGGCAGGGAGGGAGGGTCACTGTGACATGGGGGGGGTGGCTAGCACCCCCACCCTCGGTACTGGCTACCCGGATGGACGGTCACAACCAGCCTTGAGGTCAGGAAACCTGTCACCCCACTGAGGGGAGGAAACCAGGCTCCGAGAGCTGGAGAGATGCCCGCGGTCCTAGGGAGGAAGAGGTGGTGCCAAGAGACCAGGGACCCTCCCGCCACCCCCAAGCTGAGCAGCCCTGGAAGGTGAAGGGAGGAGAAGGGGTGGGGGTGGGGGCAGGCCTGATGCCCCCTCTCCGTGCCCTTCCTCACCACCCCCAGGAAATAGAATGCCCTGGCCCTCCAGCCATGAGGACGGCACTCCTCCCCCCAGGCCGTGTCCACATGACCCAGGGCATCAGATCTGTTGAGTGCTGGGATTTTCAAAACGATATCTTTTTCTTTTAGGAGAACCCAATTACCTACAACAGATCAAAGTGGAGTTCCACCGACTTGACCCCCCACCCCCCCATGAATCGCTCTGGGGCTCACAGACTTCAGTTTGAAAAACCAAGAGCCCCCCTCAGCTGGGGACTCGAGCCCAGAGAGAGCCCTGGAGCTGCCCGAGGTGACAAAACTGAGCTGGGACTGTCCAGGCCGCCTGGAGTGCGATCCAGTGCGCCCGCCCGATGCCCCGCGGCGTCCTCTGGGGGCCAAAGCCACAGTCTATGCAAGCAGCGCGGACGGTGGGCACCCCAGGAGCACTCGGCAGGAAGCCACAGACCAGCCGGTGACCGCCCACAGTGTCCGGCCTCCTGAAGGTGCTGCCACCAGGCAAGGCCAAGACAGCGTGAGGGCTTCACCAGCACCACAGCCACGGACACCTCCAAGGACCTACTAGAAGGTGTCGCGCCCACCCCAGCTGGGGCCAGGCAGACCCAGGCCCTGCGACCCCCAGACCCTGCCGGCTTGGACAGGTGACCAGGGGACGGCAGGCTGCCGGCCAGGACGGCATCCAGGTGAGTGCTGCAGTTTGTACCTGAGAGTCTGGGGATACGTACTGAAGCCACGAAGAGGTCCCCGATCTTCTCGGTCGCATCCCACTCAGCCACGCGGGAGGACAGGGCTATCTGGAACATGGAGTGGCAGTGCAGGATCTCCTTCACACGGAAGAACACCGCCTGGCACTTGCGGGCGCTCAGCACCTTGGGCTCCATCTCCATCAGGGGGTTGCGGTAATCCTGCAGGGCCGGGGCGGTAAGCACCCCAAAGCCAGGCCACAGCCCCTTCCCCCACCTGCCCTTTGGGCAACATGGACAAGGCCCAGAAGAACTCAGCAGACCATGGGTAGACCTTCCTTCACTCCTCCTTCTGGAAGGATCTCCATGAATGTAACACGCCTGGCCCCTCTTTGCCTACCCACAACCCACCCCCTTGACTTGGGTGTGAAGCGGGGTTGGGAGGAAGACGCTCTCAAGGAGCCCGATGGAGGCAAGGCCCCGAGGCCCCGGCTGGCCCCGTCCAGCTCTGCCAATGACTGAGCCAGTACCCTGACTGGAGAAGTGGCCTAGCTCCCTTGGCCCCCAGAACCAGAGCCACACTCCGAGCCACTGATCAGGAACACAATGATATTTCCATCTCTCCCTGCCTGACGCCTGGGCTCCCCTTCTGCGGATCCGAACTCAGGAGGGGAGGAGAAGGGTGTCACGAACACCCCACGACCCCAACAACTGCCTTCCCTGGTGGCCTCTCTCGAAGCCACAGCATCCCAGGGGATTCAGCACATCAGGAGTGCCGACTACTGACCAGGTTGACATGTTAGTTGACATGGTAACGCCTGGGCATCCTGACGGCCAGAGAGAGGGTGCATCCACTCCAGCCTCCAGGGGGCCCCAGGAGGATGGGGGACACGACCCTGCCCCAAGGCTCCTGGAGAGACGAGGAAGGCACGGTGCCCTCCACCCTACAGGGCACACCTCACTTCACAAACCCTCAACTTTGCTTTCAAAATGTAGTCCCCCTGTGAACATCAAGGCGTCAGGAATTCCTGCTGCCCCCATAAAAGTGCTGGCCTGTGGCCCTTCCCCTTAAAACTGTCCCCAGCCCCCCAACACTCCTCATAAAGTGTCCCTCTGGGGTCCTCCCTGCTGTCTCCCCAGAGGCCCCTGGAGTCGCACCTGGAGTACCCGCTTCAAAGACTCCACGTAGCTGCCTTCGCTCTGCACGATGGAGCCCAGGATGTGCCTCCGGAGCACCTGCTCGGGCCAGAAAGCGCAGTCAGTGCCTGCACCTGCCACCGCACGGGCTGAGCCCTGGGCGTGTGCAGAGTCCGGCGTGGCGGGAAGAGGAGTCTCAGCATCAGAGCCCACCCCGGGAGCACTGGGGTCTGCAGGCGCACATTTCCCTGCAGAGCCCAGACTGCAGATGGGGGTGTGGGTGCTGGGGCTCGAGCACCCCGCCACGCCTCTGCTCACATACATCCAGGCAAAGGGAATCATCACCTCTCCTTCACGGGGGTCAGGCAGCCCCCCATCCCTGGACAACTCAAGTAGAAAACTCTTAGATGGAACAGAGATCTCCACTCCTGCTCCTTGTAGATCCCACCCCCCGCCAATCCCTCTCCCACAGGCAGGCTGCAGGGTGCCCTCCCACCCCCCGAGGGGGCTCCGCTGCAGGCCAAACATCCCGGCCCTCCCTGCCCCGTCCCACTGGCCCCTTCTCTCCTCAGCCCAAGTCCACACACCCTCAGGTGCAGCCTGACCAGCTCCAGTCCAGCAGCCCTCGCCTGGTGGGCAGCAGAGAGGGGGCAGGGGCAACTCTGCTGCTCAGTGGGATCGCGTGGCATCTTTAAAACTACCGTCACCCAGCCACCACCCCACACATTCTGATGGGGTCGGTATGGGGCACTACCCGGGTACCGGGGTTTTTAGAGCATCCCAGGTGATTCCACTGTGCCCCAAAGCCCGGAGAGAGCTCATGAAAGGTGTCATGGGAGAGGTGTCTGAGGCTGGAGCCTGTCCACCCTGGGCCGTGGCCAGGAGGGTGACCGACCCTGGCGGTGCCCGACAGTCGTCCTGAGCAGCGATCCAGGTCCCCACTGCCACCATCTGCCCTGCTCCTCCAGGACACCTCTGTCCTGCCTCTGGCACACCCTTCTCAGCAATTCCCACTGTGCCCCAGGCACAACCATGGCCCACACAGCCCCATGGCTGTGGGATGGGCCAGGCCACTGTCCTTCCGGCTGTTCCACAGGTGAGGCATCGTCAACGATCCCCAGGTGCCCAAGCTATTCCCAGAGCAGAGTTCCCGACCTCAGCACCCTGACACATGGGGCCAGGTGATTCTCAGTTGTGGGGCCTGTCCTGTGCACTGTAAGACATTTAGCCACATCCCTGGCCCCTACCCACTAGGTTCCAGTACCACCTCCAGTAGTGACAGCCATAAACATCACCAGACAGGGCCAAATGCGCCGGGGGTAAAATCGCCTCGGTTGAGAACCACTGGTCAGGACTAACTAAGGTTGCCTGACCAGGAAACCAAGAGATTCCTGAGGATAGAGGCCCGGCCAACGCCAGGAAGACGAGCCCTGGATTGTGAGCCCAAAGTCTGGGCTCGCGCCCGGCTCCAACCAGGGTCACCATCTCAGTGCCCGGGGACGAGGGTCAGACTCTCAGTGCCCGGGGGCCAGGGTCACCATCTCAGTGCCTGGGGGCAAGGTCAGACTCTCAGTGCCCGGGGGCCAGGGTCACCATCTCAGTGCCCGGGGACGAGGGTCAGACTCTCAGTGCCCGGGGGCCAGGGTCACCATCTCAGTGCCCGGGGGCTAGGGTCACCATCTCAGTGCCGGGAACGAGGGTCAGACTCTCAATGCCCGGGGGCCAGGGTCACCATCTCAGTGCCCAGGGACGAGGGTCAGACTCTCAGTGCCCGGGGGCCAGGTCACCATCTCAGTGCCCAGGGACGAGGGTCAGACTCTCAGTGCCCGGGGGCCAGGGTCACCATCTCAGTGCCCGGGAATGAGGGTCGGACTCTCAGTGCCCGGGGGCGAGGTCAGACTCTCAGTGCCCGGGGGCCAGAGTCAGACTCTTAGTGCCTGGGGCAGGGCTGGCCAGGCAGCTAACAGACATGAAGGAAGCAGGCGGACAGACTCCCGAGACATGAGATGTGGCCACATGTCATCTCCCTGGTTTTCTAAAGAGGTCAAACATCAGGAAATCCCTTCTTGGTGCTTGCTGCCCTGACATGACTTGCTCGGCATCCCCACACCTGAGAAAAGTCAGGGGTCTCTCCCCGTTTCATGGCTGGGACAGCCAACCTGACAATATGTCCAGAGCAAGGCCACCCAGTCCTGGTCCCGGAGTGACACTGTGGGGCAAGGGAGGCATCGCCCCAAGGCCCCCAGCGCCTGGGAGAAGCCCATGGATGGAGGGCGGTCTGGCCTCTCCGAGTCTCCCCAGCTGGATTAGCTTAATGCTCCTCAACCCTTCTGTCACAGCAGCCCCTTCTTGCGAACCTTTGTGTGAAACGGTTAAGCGGGAGTGCACTAGTCCCCCTGGGTGGGAAGCAAGCACTCCAAATGCTTGGGGGCCCACCACCCCCGGGACAACGGCATGGCACCTGTGGGGTCCAGTCTGGAAATCTGTGCAGCCAGTGAGGAGACAAGAAGCTGGGGCTCCACCGGGAGCCCCCGCTCATCACTTCCCCTTCAAGACCCAGACTCATGGGGCCCCCGACCACCCCTTCCCCTGAACACCCCCACCACCCGGCTCCCCCCACAGACCTGCTGAGGGCTCAGACCATCCGGCATGGGGCCCAGCTCCGGGGCCGGGGGCTTGATGTCCGTAACGCTGACCTCCAAGAGCCCCATGTCCTCCTCCTCCGAGTCACCTGGAAAGTCAGATGGGCCAGTGATACATGCAAAGTGAGGATAACATACCCTGCTCAGCCCCCAGGAGTTGGGAACCACCCTGGGCCAGGGTCCCGGGGCCACAGAGGGTCACTCACTGCTGCGCTCTGCTAGATTCGTCTGGCCAGGAATAAAGGAGTGAGCAGGGGAGCACAAAGCAGCACTCCTCGGGGCTCCAGCTCCCAGCAGGAACTCTGCCAGAAGTCACTGTCCCCGCTCAGACCTGCCCGCTTCTGGCCCGGTGCAAGCCAGGCCACCCATGTCTCCATCACTAGGCACTAAAAATAGTTTTCTTCTGGATGCCCAAAAGGGGGAAGAAAGTAAGCCCCAAAAGAACGGGACTACTTAGCTATGTTTTCGTCTTTTCAACAACAACAAAAAAAAAATGCAGAAAGACCCAAAGGGAAAAAGTTCAACTGGGCCATGCAGACATAAGTGGGGGCAGCTGTTGGACAGAGGGCAGGAGACAGACAGAGCCTCGGGCAGAGAGAAAGCGGGAGGTCAGGCAGAGTGCAGGGATCTGGCCTTGGACAGCTCTGCCCCCACAAGAGAGACACAGGCACAGGGAGACAGGCCCCGAGCTGCTCTGGTTCTGAAACCCAGTGGTGGTGGCCGTGGGCAGCAGGGCACTGCAGGGAAGCCGGGAAGAAGGAGGTGGCAGTGACCCTTGAGCCAGGAGCCGAGGGAGCAGGGACACCCAGGCAGGCCCTTACCTGAACAGGAGACAGAAGACGAGGAGGAGGAGGGACAGCGGACCACAGTGTGGGGGTGGGGGTGGGGGTGGTGAAGGCCCTCCTGCCTGGCCCACATGGTACCCCGGGCATCACTCTGCACCCACCCCAGCCGCCAGCCCCGTGGCTTCCTCTTCCCCCACTCGCCACTGGGTAACATTCTTGGCCAGCGATCCGAGCCCTGCCGTGGCTATTAATAACGCCTCTGGTGGGAGGGTCACTTTAGGCAAGGCTCTGGGCTGGTGGGCGGGGTGGGGAGGGCTTAGGGAGAGCCTGCTGCCAGCCTGGCCCGTCTGGGGGTGGGGACGGTGACCAGGAACAGCTCCCAGCCAACCAGCCTGTCCACCCTGTCCTTCCTCCGGGCCACTCCACCAAGTCTGGAAGGGCTCCCTGGCCTGTCCCCTCTGTCGTCAGGGGCCAGGGCTCCCCCAAAGGTTCCATGCTGCGTCAAGTGCATGCAGTGGTGGCGCTGAACCCACTTCACAGATGAGCAACCGGCCCCTCTGAGAAGGGGAAGAACTGCACAAGGTCGTGTAGCCAGGAGGCCGTGGAGCCGGGATCTGAACCCACGCCGGCGAGACGCCATCCTAGCACCAAACACCTCCACTCAGTGACTGCCCACCGAGAATGACATCGGCCACACCGGAGCCAGGAGCTCTTTCCACGCACAGCCTCGGTCATTCTCACCATGGCCCCCGAGACAGATGCCACAGCAGCCCCATTGTACAGAAGAGAAAATGGAGGCACAGAGAAGGGAAAGCGCCTAACTTTTCAAGAGGGCACAGGGTCTCAAAGTTCTCCCTGGCCTGAATATCTGTGCTGGCTGGCCTGGCTCCAATCTCTCACGCCCACCCCTCTCCAGCCACATGGAGCCTCTGTCATCCTTTCTACGCCTGTGTGTCCCCAGGTGGGTCACTGAACCTCTCTGTGCCTGTTTGCTCATCTCCACATGGGAACAGGACAGCCCTGTGGACTGTCTGGTGTCTATAAGGATTAAGCAAGGAACTGTCAGGATCGTAAGAGAGCGCCCAGCACACGGTAAATACTCAATAAATGTTGACTATCGCGAAAATCGTTTCTTGAATGTCTCCTACTGCCCCGCTCCGGGGCCTTTGCACATGCTGCCTCCTCGGCCCAGAGCACCTGTTCCCTGCCCCACTCCCCACCGCCTCACTGACCTGGGTCTCATGCCCCTCCTGCTCCCAGCCCTTCGCTGACCATTCATCTGCATTGTGCTCCTCCATGCTCCTGCCCCCTCTCCCCACCACTGCTTGTCAGCCTCCGTGGTCACTTCCTGTTTATGTAAGCTGGGAACTCCCAGAGGAAATGCTGCTTCGTTCATCTTGGTGGCCCTGTACCCAGCATGGGGTACAGCACTTGGGGGGTGTTCAATAAATACTGGCTGGTGGACAGATGGGCGATGGACCAAGGAAAGAGCAGGAGCGTTCAAAGATGAGGCCAGGTGAGCCGAACAGCGTAGGAGGCAGGAGGCCAAGACTGCCAGGACAGAGACCAAGGACAGGGACGCTGAAGGGAGAGGCCCCACCTCCCCCAGAAAGAGGTGGGTTGTACCTGCCAGAGGGTGGGAAACTGGCTGGGACCAGCCAGGATATTTGGGGGTCAGTCCCCAACCCCTACCACCAGAGGACCCCAGACCCCAGGTGGCTTTGCCCACCCGTCCCTGCTGTCACTGAGCTGAGCCCGAGCCTCCGGCCAGCCAGGCCCACGGCACCTCACCGAGAACATCTTTCCTGTGCAGAAAGGACACTTTGCGCATGACGGCGATCCTCGTCTTCTCCAGCCCGTCCTTAGTCCCGCTCTTGGCAGCCTTCATGAGCTGGGTCATCTGAGCAAAGGCAGAGGGGCTCATCAGAGAAGCTGAGGGAGGCCCCAGGATGCCTGCCACCAAGGGCCACCAGCCCCACCCAGGCCTCCCAGCCAGAGCTGCACACATCAAGACCCCGGGGCCCATTCACTTCCAGGGAGGTGGCAGCAGAGACCAAGAGGGACAGCTAGGCAGTGGCACCTGAGACATCCCGGGACAAGGTGAGAAGGGGCATTCGTTCCCTGGGGGATCACACCCTGGAGGAACCCACTTAATCGACAAGAAGGGGTCTTAACCCGACTGTCTCCCTTTAGGGAAAGACTCGAGGCCTGGACTGCCAGGCCTGGGTTCAGATCCCAGCCGTACCTCTCGGAACAAGTCACTTACTTAACCTCACTGAGCCTCAGTTTCCTTACTGAGATGTGCCAAGGTCTGTGAGGACTAACAGACGAAATCCAGGGAAGCATGCTGAACAGTAAAATGACCTGTGCATGTATCCATCGTTACTTCAGGGGACGTGAGTGCACACCCCCATCCCATCTGCCAAACCCAAGTGAGGAACCCCTCCGCTGCCCCCCAAACAGCCAAGTTTCTTACTGAGCCAAGGCCCGGGAAAGCGGGGGAAGGCTGAAGCGGCCACAGAGCAGAGCGCAGCTTCCCCTGTGCGGGGAGGGACCCGTGAACACCATGCAGCAAGCTAAGCAGAATGGCAGGCGTGCCCAGGAGGGGGAAGCCGGTGCCCTGAGTGCTGGAGGAGCCCAGGGCCTGCACACAGAGTGGCTGTCCCCTAAGTCATTCCTGCACCCCTCAGCCCTCAGCCCCCAGCCCCGGCATCTTCCCCAACAGAACTTCCCCTGCAAGAACTTCCTACAATGATGCAAATACCCACTGGGGGTCCACCAGCTGCAAGTAACTCCTGGTACAACTGAGGACCCAAAGTCCTGATTATATTCCACTATAATCGATTTAAATTTAAACAGCCATGTGGCTGTCATAACAGCCAGTGCCGTTCTCAGAACACTCTCTCCTCCCTGAGGCTCTCTGCTGAAGGCGGGGAGCATGCCTCTGGGGGGCTCCAGTCTCTGCTCTCACTATCACCTTCCTCCAAACAAGCCCCTGGGGACCACTCCCCACACTCCTTGGGCCTCTGGCTTGCAAAAAACCCACTGGGTGCTGGGCCTGGGGCAGAGGGTGGTGGCTTTGCAGGAACAATGCTGACTTTCTGGAAACAACCAGCAAGGGAAGGGGAAGTCCCCTGGGCCTCCCTGAATTTAAATGGCACAATTCTTCAGCAGTGATTCTTGGCCTCTTGGGATGGGGGGGGGGTCATAAACCCCCGTGATAATCTAAGGAGAAGGACAGATGACGACCCCAGAAACTGCACAAAGATGCTCATCCTCCTCTGGGGGAGGGGTGAGGGGGGGTTACAACCTCCAGATTAGAAACCTCTGCTCTGAGCTCGGTTTCTTCCTGGCAGAAAGCCAAGGCAGGAAGCTGCCCTACAAACTCCCAAAGCGGTCTTCTCTTGGCATTTTCCTGGGCAAAAAAGAGCAACAAATGAACACCCCGGAAGATGTCCCTGAGTCAACCTGCCACCTCCGCCCATCTTCACCATGCAGGGGCCAGGCCGGGGATCCAAGTCCAGGGTCCCAGCCAGGGCGAGAACCCCGGTGGAAGACTCTGCCCTTCACATGCTCCCCACTCCTCTTCGGGCCTTGGCCTTCTGAGAAATGAAGCCCGCCCCCCTCGGGTCACAGGCCCCCCTGTGGCGCATCTATATAAGGGCCCTGCAAACTATAAAGTGTCTGTCCCCCTCCTCCTGGGAGGTCTCGGGTTCCAACGGAATGGGCAGTGGCCCAGGATGGAGACCACTCAGCTTGGGCATGCACAGACCCAGGTTTGAGTCCCAGCTCTGTCGCTGCGACTACCAGCCTGCTGATTCACTCACCGGCCTCACTGATGCCAAATGACAGCTGCCTCCCCGGGTGCCCTGGGGACAAAACAGTCAGGTGCACAGATAACAGGGGCCACCACCCACCAAGTGCAGCACGGAGCACCTTACAGATCTGAGCTCACTTAACCCTTCCTTCCATCCAGCCTGGGGGCTGGTACTGTTAATGCCCCCATTTCACAGGTGAGGAAACCAAGGCTCAGAGAGGTCAAGAGGCCTGCCCAGGATCACACAGAGAGGAAGTGGTGGGACTGGGATTCAAAGCCAGGCCTGCAGGCCTTCAAAGCCCATAGCACATAGTAGGTGCTCGATTAAGGGAAGCCCCTGCTGTGGATGTCATCATGATCCAGAAGTCTGAGTCCCATCTGAGAAGAAGGTGCTGTGATTTCTCCCACAGATTTCCTTAGCCTGGATCTCTCTGAATAGCTCAGAGGGGCAGGAACGTCCAGCGTCACTCAGTGATGCTCACATTTTTCAGAGTATAACTGTCACCCACCGCCAGCGTTATCAAATTTGCAGAGCCTGGGCATTAGTCCAGACCTCCAGAATCAGCATCTCTGGGGATGAAGCTCAGCAGTCAGCGTGCCCCAAAGCACCCTGGTGATGCTGAAGGCCCTAGAGCGTGCAGACCCACCCAGGAATTCTGGCAGACCACTAAGGTTTCACTCAGAGAGAGAGAGGCAAGAACGTGGAAAGGAGCGTGCCTGTCCCAGCACAGATGTGAGATGCGGCCAGGCTCCCGTGCCGGGGCGGGCGCCAGGGGCTCGGGCCCCCCTCTGCAGGGCCCCAGCCAGGACGTGGGGGGACAGACAGACAGTACCTTACAGTCGTACTTGTGCTTCAGCGCCTGCATGTCTCTCCCCCCAGCTCTTAAAGCCAAGATGTCTCTCTTAGTCCTGGCGCATCTCTCCTTTAGCCTAGTCAGGTCTGGAGAAAGCTGGAGCCCCCAAGCAGCCAGGCAGAAGGAGAGCAGGTGCGAGGAGCAGGTGGGACGGGAGGAGACAAACAGGACAACAGAGGAGAAAGGAGACCAGGTGAGGTGAGATGTGGGGCATGGGGAGGGCTCCCGCTGGGCATCAGCTCTGGCAGTGTCCCACCCCAACACACAGGCAGCGGGGACTGGGTCCTGGCTGCTGGGAGGACAGGAGGAGGGGCCCAGCCAGGCCCCCCTCAGGGAAGGGGGACAGCGCGTGGAAGATAAGGACTGTGTCTCAGGCATCCCCTCATTCCAGGGGCCAGCATGGGGCTGGTAACAAAGGAGGCTCTCAGCGAGTTTGTGAGATTGGATGGGGAGGGGGGGATGGATGGGCAGGATGGGTGGGCAAATGCATAGGAAGACGGGTGAATGTATAAAGGGATGGTTGGACAGACAGATGGACAATAGAGGGATGGGTGGATGGATGGATGGACAGATAAATGGATGCGTGAGCAAATGGATAAACTTAGCTGGATGACCGCAGAGCTGGGTAAATGGATGGGCAGGTGAACAGTAAGATGAATGACTAAAAACACAACGGGACTGGTGGATGGATGGAAGCAATGCTGTGCTGGTAAATATTTAACATAGTGCTTCTCCAGGAGAAAGAGCCCTGCTTTGCATTACCACAGTGTGAATACTCTTACCATGGCAAATTTCACACTACCAGTGTGACACCACTGAATGTGGAGTTGGAAAGAGAGTGTACAATTGGTTCCTAGATCTTGCGAGCTAGGAAGAGCCGGCTCTGGCACATCACTGGAGGAAGGAACGGGTTAATAGAGGGAGGGAACGCAGGTGGGCAACTGGATGGAAGGATGGGTAGGTGACTAGCTTACGTACTATCTGGGAAAATGGATTTATGGAGAGACAAACAGATAGACATTCAAATGCATGAACTGTGTGAGCAATAGTGAATTTTGGTAAAGCATACAGAAAACCAAGACAGTACTAATTCCAGAGTAGACAAGTAGAGGGACCAAGAGCATGAACTCTGGAGGCAGGCAGGCCTACATTCAAATCACCACCCCCTGGCTCACTAGCTGGAAAAGTATCTTTACCTCTTTAAGGGACACCTTCCTCACTGGTGAAGTGGCCAGGACCATAACTACTTCACAGAATTACTGAGATTCAATGGGCAATACATGCAGAGCCCAGGGCTTAGTAAGTGCTCAAAAAGTGGAAGCTGTTATTATACTACCTTACAAATTATAAGTGTTCAATATTTGTTGAATGGATGGATAGTTGGTCGGATGGATGGATGGATGGATGGATGGATGGATGGATGGATGGATACTTGGATGGATGGATGGATGGATGGATGGATGGATGGATGGATGGATGGATGAATGGATGGATGGATGGATGGATGGATGGATGGATGGATGGATGGATGATGGATGGATGATGGATGGATGGATGGACAGATACCTGGATGGATGGATAGATGGGTGGATGGTTGGATGGATAGATGGATGAATGGATAGATGGATGGATGAATGGATGCATGCATGCATGGATGAATGGAAGCATGCATGCATGGACAGAAGGATGATGTATTTTCTTTCAAATCAGATGTGATATTGAGTTGCAGCTCTACCACGTACTGGCTGTGTGACTCTAATCATATCATTTTGCCTCTCTAAGCTTCTGTCTTAGGTTCTCTGATCAATCAAATGACTTTTAATGCAAATAATACCAACCACTCTAGGATATTAGGAAAATCATATGAACTGCTTTGTAAACTGTACCATGCTAAGCAGATGCTCACTACTATTAATGCAAAGAAATAGCAAAACAGGGGTCCTTCTGAGAATTACTCAGACTCCCCAAAACCGTGAGAGTTTGGGGTTTATACCGAGTCCTGTTTCATCTGTAAATTGACACAATAAAATCATAAAGGCTCTGGCTTTGTA